GGGACGCATACACAGAAAATAAACAGACATCAACGTGCTGCTCAGAATGCAGAGAAGCCTACCTTCAATCGGTTTGGGTACAAAATGTGATGAGGGCTTAGTTTTCTTCACTCTGTTCCCCTTCATAATTTGACCTTCTTTATTGAGTCCGAGAAACCATGCCCGGCCTGATTCTTGCTGACGGTACAGAGTAGAAGAATAGATCACATAGTAGTTTTCAAACACAGATTCCTTAAATTTGCATTCTGGAGTGAAAACATCCTGTAGAAAAAGAGAGCAGACAAAAAACGAGAAAGACTTTTAAAATGAATCAGCAAATCTTAAGTCCGATGGGCCTGAAACGTGCGTCCTCTGTAGGAACGAACGAGAGGCAACTGCATCTCATCTGTTAGAAAGACTCTTTCTAATCGCCTTGCTAGCATGTCATGGTGCAGACTTCAATCACTACGTGTGTTCGTATTCTAGACAGCTTGCACTTTGAACAGATTGCTGTTCTGAACTCTGGTCTCAGGATAACATTTTGTAAATGTTCGTGACAGATATTACTAATTTTTTATGTAACATTTATGTAAATGTTCGTGACAGATATTACTAATTTTTTGTGGCCTTTAGCATGTAAATGGAGACGTCTTGATGGAGGAAAGACTAAGTACGTTGCTCTTAACCCAAAGGTTGGTGATTCAAAACCACCCAGTGCCTCTGCAGGAGGAAGATCTGGTGATGTCCTCCCATGAAGATTACAGCGCAGAAATCCCGTGGGACGGCTCTATCCTGTCACATGAAGTTGCCAAGTGGAAAGGAGTCAATGACACTTAAGAAAAACAACAGAGTGTGGGAATTTATGTCTGGAAATAAAACAAACATAACCAAACCAAACATAGGCTCAGCAGATGTTACTGAAGGGACTATTCATGGGTTTCAAACCCTCAACCCACTTCCATGTTCTGACTCGTACAGAGGCACAGGCTTTCCAAGGCTATAAATCTTTGAGAACTGATGGCCTCGTCTTTTTCCCAAGGAGCAGCAGATGGGTTTGAACAAAAACCCTAAGTAAAATGTCCAGGAGTGAGTAGTAAAAAAACAAAACAAAGCAAAGACTATTACATTGTATCATCCTCAAGCGACTCTATGTACTCTTTATAATTTCTTTTATTACTAATATTTAATGTATGCTCTGTCTTCTTCACTATATACTGGAAGATTGTCTTCCAATGTGTGGCCTCCGTGATATAATGCATATAAACCAGGGGCTATCCCAGGAATAAAGTCACTGATGGATATGCAGAGACTGGAGCTGGTTCTACTGCAGCATGTTTCCCTCTCACATGGGAGACTCAAGTTCAATTCTGAGCTAATGTACTTCAAGGACAATTACCACTATCTGTCAATGGAAACCAGGGCATTTTTGTGATGCTAAACAAACAGATTAAAGTGGATCTTCTTGGTTCAGACAGACTAGGAAGAAAAGTTACACTGGTTAGTTCCAATGAGCATTCAACAAAAACCCTAGAGATGACAATATCTAATACCATTCCACATGGAAACACCTTGGTTTAGAGACTAAATTGATAGCAGTTACCTAAAACAAGAAACCTATTTCAAACCCTGGTGATAACGCCAGATTAAGTCTCTATCTTAATTTGCAGAGAACTGCAATGCTGTATAATGGACTGACAGAGGCCTTCAATGATAGAACAACTCAACAATTCACTACCATTGAATCAATTCTGTTGGTTCCCAAGACTGCAATTCTTTCTGGGAAAGAAAGCCTTGTCTTTCTCTCTCTGAGTGGCTGGTGGTTTGAAACTGCTGACCTTGTGGTAAGAAGTCCAATCTGTAACAACTATGCCACTGATAAAAGACACTCATTATAGGGCTCCAGTGGTTGTAGGTAGTTCCAAAATTATGGACTAAAGATTATACCAAGAACATAGGAATAAGGATGCAAAAGCAGCTATAGATATGAAAATCAGAACAATAAAGTGTTTTTGTTATTACATTAATAATAAAAATATAATTTCTCAGAGTACTCTAACATACATAAAATAATTGACAGCAGAATTTG